TTTTTTTGGCTGCGACAAATGCCATGAAAATTTATATGTATTTATCTTATATAATAGAGAATCAACAAATAAAGTTTGAAAAAATAATTTTTTTTTTCATGGCACGAAATAAAGGAAAAACAAAAAGTGAAAAGAGAGAAAAAACAAATTAGTGAAGGTGAGTGATAGTCTACTTTGATTTTGGTTAAGGTATCAGTGAGGGGATTCTGCAGACTAATGAGGGTTCAGCCTCCTGATGAGTCGGTGAAACTCCGACGAAACAGTTTGTCACAGCCCCTCGTTTGTTGTCCTCTTCTCTCTCTCTGCCAACGGTTTACCGGGCAGTTCTGTTTGTGACGATATATATATATATATATATATCGTCACAAATAGAACTGCCCAGTAAACCATAGGCAGAGAGAGAGAAGAGGACAACAAACGAGGGGCTGTGTATATATATATATCGTATTGCCAGGACTGGATGCTGCGCAACTGGATGTAGCTAGTTAACATTTGCTGAGCCAGTGAGTCAAACCACGCGTAACTTTCCCCGCTTGAAAAACAAACATGCTGCTTGGTTATGGCTGTAACTTTCGAGGGCCGGGGTACTGCACAGAAATGGCTGGCGGCACAAGACAAAATGAGGCCTGAGCCGGCTCGTTTTTTTTTTTTGGCACGCAGGGCTTTTTCAGTCTCAGCTTCAATAGCTGGGGGAGGTAATGGTGGTTTAACCTATGACTAGCAATTGGAAATATCCAGCTAATCTGTGCCGGACTATTGGACACGGCCAGTTTAACCTATGATGCTCAGCTATTTGATATTATAGCCAGCTCATTTAAATACAGAGCTGTTGATTTAACGTGGTGCTAGCTATTGGGAATAGCCAACATGTGCAGAGCTCTCACTCATAGCCACTTAGTTAGCATAGGCTGAGCTTTTGAGTTAACTGAGTGCTTGTGCTATTGGGCATAGCTAGCTAACCTATGCAGCAGAGCTATTGCATATGCTTGCCAGCTCACTTACACCTTCTAGCTATCGGATATGGCCTATTGCATAATATGACAGAGAAATGCCCGGTGAACTGTAGGCAGAAAGGGAGAAAGGGAGAAAGGACAAGAAACCAGGGGCCCGAGGGGTGGAACAGCCTGTGCGTCGTCGGACTTAGTATAGCCTTGCCAAGGCTAAGGTTGAGGGTTCAAATCCCTTCTTCAGCTCGTCAGCTTCCTTCGCTTCTTCTTGGCCAAGAAAAGAATGGAGCCGACACCACCCCTCCCTGGCGTGGGTGGGAAAGATGAACACTTCAGTGTATGGTCTGTGCAAAGTTTGTGAACTGTTTGTCAGGTTGTCCCACAACTCTACCAGCAAGGGTTTCCTCAGAGGAACAGGACTCCATCATACATGATCTAATTGAATCATTGTTACGGTACTCCAATGCAAG